CACATTTTTTAGTCAATTTCATCAAGTTTTTTTCTCCGATATTTTTCTTGATAACATTTTTAGTGGCTTTAAGTGCTGCTTTAAAACCACAGCCGCCACCTACTTTACGTTTTGCTTTCATGGCAGTAGTCACACCCCAAGCCACAGCTTTTTCTTTTAAACTCGAATCTTTTGACTTGAACCTATCCCAGGCCTGCTGCTCTAATATATAATCGGCTTTGTTACGATCTGCGATAGAGTTGCTGTTCTCGTACGCAATATCGTGGTCCCTACAAGCAGAGTCCAGAGGGTTTATACCTTTATCACCACGAGCCAATCGATTTTTTAAATTTGTACCAGGTCCACAGTATTGATAACCTAAAATATAAAATTATTAGAAAATATAATATTATCGGATTTATAATATAATATACCAGGCACGTGAAGCTCGATCGGTAATTTGTTTATAAGCGTGTTGATCAGGCCACTGCCTTTATTCTTGCTGCTTCTTCGAGCGAGTGACATCGTGTACTGTTTGATTTATCATCGTTGCACAGTTATTTATATAAAAAATGAAGTTCATCAAACAAAAAATAAAACTATCAGTTGAAAACGTGGACCCGCCTACATCGTTTATGAAACAAAGACACGGGGCGCTCCTACCTAATACGATACGTGCGCTTATCGTGGGTCCTTCTGGCTGTGGAAAAACAAATTTAATTTTCACTTTATTAACCAATATAAACGGAATACGATTTCACAACGTATACATATATTCAAAGACATTGGATCAACCTAAATATAAAATGTTGAGTGATATATTATCAGATATTGATGGTATAAAATTATTTACATTCTATGAAAACGAACAAGTTATTGAACCTGAGAAAGCTTTACCAAACTCTGTGTTTATTTTTGACGATATTATTACTGAAAACCAAAAGATTGCAAGAACTTACTTCTCCAGAGGGCGTCATAATTTAGTTGATGTATTCTATCTGGCTCAGAGTTATTCAAAAGTACCAAAACAACTTTTGCGCGATAACGCTAATTTTATTGTATTATTCAAACAAGACGAAACTAATTTAAAGCATGTATACAACGAGCATTGCTCTGGCGACATGTCATATTCAGAGTTTAAAGACTTTTGCACTTCGTGTTGGCGTCAGGGGAGATTTGAGTTTATCGTCATAAACAAAGACTGTAAACGCGACAATGGACGATATCGTCATGGATTCGACACATTCGTCGTTATATAAAGTGTTGTTATTGTGGAAATGCTTCATTCATAGTCATGGCTGCCAGTGGTGATGTACTCGGAGAACTGATTAAAGCCAAAGAAAATATCAAGCGCAAGTATACAGCATTAAAACAAGGAAAAGCCGACATTCATTCATTAGTATCAGAAACGTTAAGTCCGATTATCGAACCATTAGAAAAAATAAAACGTATCGGTCCATCAACATTTCAAGCTCCACCTACACAGCAAGACATTGATATTCAAGATTCTCAATATTTTAACGACACAGACGATTCGCTAGCTTTTAACGACTGGTTTAAGTCTTACGATATAGACAAGACGTATGGACCTAAAATACAAACAAATGGAAGTGTACACTTAGGTAAAAAAGAAATTAAACTCGTTGATAATACGTTAACTATTGAAGATACATCATATCCACTAACACAAGGACTTGGTAATTTAATATTTTCAAAATCTCCAAAATTGTACACCAAAAACGATTTAGAAACATACAAGTCTATATTAATTCAAACATCGGCGTATCTAAAAGCAGATGGGAAAAAAATTAAAAAAGGCGGAAATAAATATACAGATATAATCCAAAATCTGTTTCCATCGGGCGCTGGGCTGTCAGTTAAATTACAAAAACATAATTTAGTATACTGGAACGAGCCAAACGAGTTAGTCGATCGATTACGACTTCTTTTAGCTTCTAAAGCTGCTGGTAATACAGGCGTTTCGAATGAAATACTCTCGATTTTTGAAGAATTGCGTGAAGCAGGGTTAATAAAACGTATTCCAAATGTCTAAACGTGATATAGCTTATGAACTCCACAAACCAGCGAGAAAAAATTATACAAGGCGTAGAGTTAATGTTTACGACAAAAACGATCTATGGCAAGCAGATTTAGTTGAAATGATACCGTATTCGAAAAAAAATGAAGGCTATAAATATATTCTATGTGTTATAGACTGTTTTACTAAATTCGCATGGGCGACACCATTAAAATCAAAAACTGCTAAAGAAGTTTCCAGAGCAATGTCTAAAATACTGATTAAACGCTCACCAAATCTATTACAGCTCGACAATGGTAAAGAATTTTATAACTCAACATTTGATGCGTTAATGTCTAAATACAACATACACAAATATTCTACGTACAGTACTATGAAAGCGTGTATTGTAGAACGTTTCAACCGCACATTGAAAGAAAAAATGTTTAGAGAGTTTACGGCACGTGGCTCTCACGAATGGGTTTCTATTTTACAGTCGTTGATTAACGAATATAATAATTCAAAACATAGAACTATAGGAATGACGCCTGTACAAGCTGATGCTAATCCTACGCCAGTGGAAATAAAGAAACGAACAATTATTAATGGACTAAACAAATTTAACGTGGGTGATAACGTTCGTATTAGTACATATAAAGGTGTATTTGCAAAAGGTTATTTACCGAGCTGGTCTACAGAAATATTCAAAATTGTTAAAATTAATGAAACATTACCTACTACTTATCAGCTACAAGATTATACTGGAAAACCAATTGCTGGTTGCTTTTATTCAGAAGAAATATTGAAAACAAACTATCCAAATGACTATTTAGTAGAGAAAATTATCCGTAAGAAGGGGAAGCAAATTTTTGTCAAATGGCTAGGGTTCGATAATACACACAATAGTTGGATAAATACAAGTGACATTAGAAAATAACTTCAGTCGAGCTACAGACATGAACGTGTTTGGTAGTTCTCAGTCTGGTGAAACAAAAAAAAATATTTCAAATCTCGAACAAATTGTTAAATCGTATTCGAATAAACTCGATAAAATTGAGCATTTACTCGAAAAAAATCATAAATCCATTCAAATTCAAGAAGAACAAGTAGAAGCGATACAATTGACATGTATACAAATAGCTGAGCATATGACAAGAGGTGAAGTACCATTACAATCAATCAAAGAAAGTACAGAAGCGTTGAAAAAAATAATTCCTGCTATACTGAGCCGTCTTAACACTATAGAAACTTATTATAAAGACAAGCCATAATGTCTTCGGCCATCTTGGACATGCAATGCGTTCTTGGATTTAACAATAAATACATGATTAAAGAAATGTCTATAGAAGACACAGAAACTTGGGCGACCCAACACTGGATTTTTAAACATTCAAAATCGATGGAGGATAACAAAAGTCGTAAAACCAACAAGTGGCTGGAACGTAATTTTCATCAACTACCTATAGAATACGGTGATATCGAGTATGAAGAACTCGGAAGAATATTGAATTCATTAAAGTTCAACAGCATTTACGTCAAAGGTGAACAGAAAAAACAAATTCTTATGGAGTATATACCACACGTCGCACTCATCAACATTGAAGACTTGGGCTGCCCTCGTTTAGATCAAATATGCGATGACGAAACTCTACCTTGTTGTATTTTTCATATGGAATTTAATCCTAAACAATGTACATTTTATAAAGTTTTTGCTATAAGAAAATGGTTTATAAATAATTCTTAAAAATATAACAATAATATTTTAACATTGGTTTTTTTTATTTCACATAGGTAACCTAACATTTTCAATACATGGTTATAGATAACATAAATATACAAATTCTTAAAAATATAACAATAATATTTTAACATTGGTTTTTTTTATTTCACATAGGTAACCTAACATTTTCAATACATGGTTATAGATAACAAAAATATACAAATCCTTAAAAATATAACAATAATATTTTAACATTGGTTTTTTTTATTTCACATAGGTAACCTAACATTTTCAATACATGGTTATAGATAACAAAAATATACATGTTATTTTACAATATAACAAAAAATATATGCATTAATCTAAATCAAGTATTTACAAATTAGAAATATATACAGTATTTAATTATTTAGACATGCACCCCCTTAGAAGTAATCTCATTAAATCTTTCTCTTCATCGTTCCAGTTCTGTCCTCCTTCTTCTAATTCAGGCCAATCAACAATCTGATCGTTATCATCCCTATACAATTATAAATATAAGTAAAATAATTTGAAAAATGTAAAATAATTTAAAAACTTACTCTAAACTATAGTGTCCATGTGCTAGTGTGTGGACTTTATCTTCTAGCACCACTCTTTTGTCATCGTAGCTGTTATATGTTAATTTTTTAGTCTTAATCGTCATGAGTTGATGTTTGAATGACCGTATTGAAACATTCTCCTTGTACGTCTCTAATCCTTCTTCCCCAAACAAACACTTAACATGATCCTCCAACGTCATGTGGTTTTTAACCACATGCTGTCTTACACCCTTCGCCTTGATCTGCTCTCTCGCCACATCCTCTTCTCCTGTATTTATGTTGTACGCGTATGATTTTGCACGTAGTGCACAAAACTCTGTCATTATATGTCCTTTTGCTTCATCAGAGAAAAACCCGGGCACCTTCTTCCTAGCTGTAGTGTAGCACGGATGGGTAGGAGGCAAGTCCACCGTGTCTAATCTATCCATCAAGTTGGGATTCTCAATCAAGTCTTTGTAAAAATCTTCAGTTTTAATATGGTATACCAACGAATCTGAAATAATAATTAATATATACGGTGTGGCAATTAAATAACGAGAATTTGTTTCTAGCTTCTATAGTGGTAACACTGATATCTTGAAAATTTGTTGACTTAAAGTTCACGAGGTAATACACAAGTTTGCCAAGTTTGATAGTGATCGGTGTTATATTTTGTGCTCCCCGATTTTTTAAAGTTAGTAGTGTAGTGTCGTGACGTACAAAAATGTGTGACGTGAAAAACGAGCAACGAATCGTCATCAAGTTTCTGGTGAAATCTGGTGAAAAAACGGCCGAAATTTTTCGTAAATTGCAGCGTGTGTTCGGTAATGACTGCTTATCAAAACCACGTGTGTATGAATGGGCATCACGTTTCGCATCAGGTCGAGAATCGACGCAAGATGATGCAAGGTCGGGTGCCCCTAAAATTGTGCACACTAGGCAAAATGTTGAACGTTTGAGAGTGTTGGTGCGAACTGATCGACGCCTCACAGTCCGAATGATGTCCAGTGAACTCGGGATCAATAAAGAAACCATTCGCCAGATGTTACATGGTGATTTACTGATGCGCAAGCTCTGTGCAATGCTTGTTCCGAAAATGCTGACGGTGGAGCAAAAAGAGTTGCGACGGTCGATTTGTGAGGACTTTCTTGAACGAATTCAGAGTGAAGGGCGTGACTGGATGAGTTCAATTATTACGGCAGATGAAAGCTGGGTATATCAATATGACCCTGAAACACGTAGGCAGAGCAAACAGTGGATTGAAGAGGGGGGAGAGCGCCCAACGAAAGCCAGGATGTCTCGAAGCCAAATCAAAACCATGCTGATCTGTTTCTTCGATGTTAGGGGTATTGTGCACAAAGAATTTGTTCCACAAGGTCAAACAGTGACAGGAGTATTTTATATTGAAGTTCTTAAGCGATTGTGTCATAGAATGTCTCGTGTAAGGCCGGAATTAGCCAAAAATGGTTGGATCCTTCACCATGACAATGCGCCTGCACACACCTCATTAAAAGTTCAACAGTTTTTGACCAGTAGGAACATAAAAACGCTCCCCCACCCCCCGTACAGCCCCGATCTGGCTCCACTGGACTTCTGGCTATTTCCAAAGTTAAAGGAACCAATGAAAGGACATCGCTATGAGGATTTGGAGGACATTCAACGTGCCGTAACAACGGTGTTGAAGAGTTTAACTTCTGGAGACTTCCAGGAGTGCTTCCAGAAATGGGAAGAACGCTGGACCAAGTGTGTTAGACTCGGAGGAGAGTACTGTGAAGGCATGGGCGCATAAATTATTGTAAATATTAAATAAATGTTATAAAATTAAAAATTCTCGTTATTTAATTGCCACACCGTATACATATACACACACACACAAGATAATAGTTTTAGTATATTTACCTGTGTCAGTATACATAAGTTTGATATTATCACCATAGTGCTTCTGCATTACGTTGTAGTGATAATCGTACATCATCGTCTTGGAAATGTCAAGTACAGCAAATCCTATACAAAATATATAAATAAATGATAAACATGTAATTTAAAAAAAAAAGTATATTTACCAATATATATAGGCTTATCAAATTTGATTATTTTGTTTTCCAACGCCACCGCGTTCAGGTTTTCTCTATAGTTGGTAGCATGTTTAAATGTCGTCTTATTAATAAGTTTTTGTAGTCGTCTCTCACACGACACCAACTCCATCTTCATCTCCTTTCTTTTAGACTGCATTGTTTTACCTGTAAAAATAAAATGTTAATAAAATCAGAATAAATAGTATAAAGTAACATACAAAATACTGCATTATTCATTAATTTGAAAAAGTCTTTCTCAAAGTCGTTCTGTGCCTTCTTCCTCATCTCTGTGTTTAAGTTAATGTAATCCGCCAACCATGCAGACTGGCTAAATTCTAAAACTCTATGCACCTATAAATTAAGATATAATGTTAAAAATTTAATTTAATTTAAATCTTGTAAAATAAATATATTTACTTTTTCAACTATTAACCCATTTTCAATTGCCTGTTGTAGGTTCCGGTAATGTATAATATAATTTTTCTTCTGCTGAAACGTTGCCATCAATTTTTTCACCTTCGACCCGCGTGGTATACCGTTTTGTGGCAGGAAGGGCAGGTCGTTATGTTTGTCGTGTAATTTTTGCGGGTATGAGACATCAATTTCGTATACTCGCCCTTTGTCTGATGTGTCGTTTAAATCAGCTAATCCGTTAAGAGACGGTTCAACCCAATTGAAGTCACCGTACGGCATATACTGACACATAGCCCAGCCATAGAGATTATTACCTGTAAAGTTTAAGTTTGTAAAAAATGAATAAATAAATAAATAAATATATTTACAGTCCTGGTATATCAACCACGATTTCTCCTTAGTTTCGTCATAGTCTGGGGTATTTATATTATTCGCTTTGGCATGTCTCATGCTTGCCTGCACTAATCCACCACGAATACCTAAAAAATTAATAAGATTATTATTATATTCATATTTTATAAATAATATACTAACCATTCTCATACATTAATAACATATCGTAATCACTCAACAGCTCCAACTTTTTCCCGGTAAACTTCAACATCGCGTCAAAACTCAATACTAGGTGCAGTAAAATAATACGCCGCGTCCAAGTTGTATGTCTTTATGCACACATCACGAAAATTTTCAAAGACGTCCGCCAACAGCAACACGTCGATTTTCAAGTACAGATCACTGTACTCGCCCAACGTCTTGCAGCCAAAGTGGTCCCAGACCTCCTTTGCATGCGTGTATTCCTCCTCCTTTATTCCCGACTCGTTTAACGTGCTATAAAAGTCTCTCTTTCTCGGTAGTCTCTCTTCATCCAACCTGCTCCAACTATCTGTGTACTCGTACGGGTACACTCCCTTCCGAGTCACGAGCGGCATATCGACAATATTAAAAACTTTAGCGGTCTCACGGAAGTTCTCCAGACCTGGTGTTACAAGATTTTTAGCTAGAGTTGATAGTCCTGATGCCATGAATCTAAAAGTGTCTATGAAACGGATTTGGAATTTACTTGACACATATTTAGAGAATGATATGTATTTTTCCTCAGTGTTTGGTATTACTCTAATAGTCTGGGTGTCATAACCAAGTTCTGTGACTATCAGATGCGCGTCATAGTTGGACAAATTATGGAAGTAGCACGGTACAAAAACGGGTATTTGTAGTTTTTGGTTGCATACATTGCAGAGAGCTTGGCGGTATTTTCCTGTGAGATGGCAATGGTCAGCTGTCTTACGATATAGTACCTCTGAAGGTGGGGTAAACTCAATTTTGCATAGATTGCAGTGCGTCGCTGCTTCATGAACTTGTATGTCGTCTGCGGACATATTTATCGGAATATTCGTCTTCAATAATTTCTCAATCTTCAACGATATATCCGTCACGGTTTCGACAAAATGTCTCGCCACATCAGGCTGACTCTCACTTCCTCGATATAATATTGGTTCCGTTGGTATCTCGTGTCTCGCTAATAGCTCTGTCGGTACGTCATTGCTCGCCTTCACAATGAGTCCATAGCTCATCGCTTCATGTCTGTGCATTATTTTTGTATTTCCCCCCTTCTTCTCATCCGCCTTCATAAGTATAGTTTCGAAATCTGCATATATTACTATAGGATGTCTCTGAGTGTTTCGCCATGCTTCAAATTGCAGACACTCTCCCTCCTTAGGCATCACCGGTAATATTGGCTTATGTGCACCGCATATAAGCTTGTGTTGATTCAGCACCTCCTGTCCGCTCAGCTTGTATTTATGTCGTCTATCATCAAAACTAGTAAAACACCTTTTGCAGAACACGACACTCTCCTTATGTGATGTTTTCTGCTTGCGTATGAGCCGGGAAAAATTTGAAATATATATATAATGTGCATTGTCGCCGTCCGTTATTAACAGCAGGTCGAAGTGGTTTACCTTCTCCTCGTCGACCACACGTAACGGGTACACCTCGTACGTCGGATATTTACGCGGTGGCTGGAACTTTTTCTCTACTCCATAGACGTTAATGGACACGTTGATATTATTTTTTTCAAATTTGGAGATATCCGATAAAGGTGTCGGGAACGAAATACCGTCAAAATTATATTTTCCTTCGTGTTTTTTATAATTTTCTCCGATACGACATACCGCCGGCCCAGTCACATGTTTCGCCAATATTGCCCACTTAAAACATTGCTGGTCATTGTTTTGTGGGTTATTGGTGGCCCGTTTCCTATCGATATACACCGGTAATTCAATATATGACGACCCAGTCATTGGTGTGTAATTGTATATTCCTAATAATAAGCCGTCTATTGTCTCCAGAGTAAATCCACTCCCGCGTGACTTATACTCCTCCTCCTCCTTCAACAACTTTATATACGCCCTCTCAATGATCGTACTAATGTCACTATCTGAGAAAATTTCTACTGCCACTGTCTTAAATGCCCGGTTCTCCGACGAATTGAGGACGTTGGGCCGGTTGTACGTAGCCTCAAGCTTTAAATTGAATTTAATCGCCCCTTGTTGAACGCGTGTTTTCAATAAATGTTCAAGCTCAGGCATGAGCGATCGGAGAAAGTCGGGATAATTTCGAACGATGTTAATATTTTTGGCATAATACCACACAATTTTTCGATTCACTGACGAGGAAATTTCAGTGAACCCAGGAGTCTTAACCATGTCCATCCTAATTTTTTTTGCTCTAGCAGCCGACACGGTGTTGGCAGTCGAAACACGTTTCCCGTTAACGGCAACGGTGTAAGAATCTTTAAAAGAAAAAAATCCTAATTAATATCTAATGAAAATAAAAAAAGTGGTATCGAATCTAATCAACCTTAGTTTATAATATGACGATATATGTCTTTGTGTAATTAATCCACGGCGGGTAAATTATTTTAATAATCTAATTAATTCGGGTTTCAAAACTAACCTGTATCCTCGAATTCGTCCATAGCTGCCATGCAAATCTCGTCTTCGGTTAACATGTTCGAGCCACCAGCAGGAACATCGGGGACAAATATCTGCGGCGCGATTTGAATATCTCCCTGCGGAGCGGCAAGAGGTGCGAGCTGTTTGACGCTTGGACGTGCTGGTTGAGCGGTGATCGGCGTAGCTGGTCTCAAATGAGCCGGAACGTTGACGATACCTTAATATAAATTAATATTGTATAAGATAGAAATAAAACTTTATATTATTAATACATACCATGAATGTTCTTCGTATGTTTGATGAGGCCAGACTTGTATGTGAATGTCGAAGGACATACAGTGCACGGAAAACGTATACCCGCATGCTTCTTTTGATGGTTAGTCAAATTTTGTTTCATGGTGAAAACCGAAGGGCACTGTTCGCATTGAAACATTTTTAAAATGTTTAAGGTAATGATGATAGAAAAATGAAAACGAAAAGAAAAACACTTGTAAAAATTTTTCAACGTTGGAAATTTTTTAAAGTTGGAACGAGAACGATGAATGTGTCGGGTAGACTAAACCGTTTCAGCTATACTCGGTGATATATATAAGCAGAGGTACGCTAATGCTTCTTGTGGTAGATACTTGTATTATTATTAGAGGTGGCTATTAAGACATCCTGGCTATGACAATAAGTAGGCTATTAGGGTTAATATATTTTTCATTAATTGGTATCTTCTATTCGATATACTATAGGTATAATGGTCATTTATTGATTATTTTATAATGTTTCCTTGTGTGTGAACAAATATTGAATACGAATAATATCTAATGGCAGGAAATATACGACGAAGCACCATTGTGGTCTAATGTTAAGATGGGTGCAAACGTGTGAGGTGGCTATTAAGAATCCGCGACATCCTGGCGACAGTCTGTAGACTGACTATTATTATACAGGCTGAATTGATAGCTAATGATTCTTCAATTCGATATACTATAGGTATAATGGTCATTTATTGATTGTTCGGCGAGCGTGCGAACGGATTTACTAATGACAATACGCGCAGCTGCAATCTATTATTAAATGTTTCTTTTGCAGTTTTATGTACCCGTTAAATATGGCAAGTTATTGTATTAAAGTATATGTGACGGGGTGGCGCAGTGGTTCGGTGATCGCTTGCCGAACCAACGTACTCGGGTTCGAATCCCGGTCCGGAAGAAAATTTTTAGCTTATTTTCGGGCGGCGGCGTAACATGTGATAAAATACGATAACGGAAATAATATGATAACGAAAATAATATGATAACAGTGATAACAATAATATAACTAACGCTCAGCAGCGGGGTGCGGGCGGTGTGATGAGTGATGAGGCTGAGGGGATAATGCAAGGATAATGGGATAATGGGATGAGGATGAGGGGATAATGCAAGGATAATGGGATAATGGGATGAGGCATCAGAATCCCCCAATTTATACTACTCACAACGTAAAAAAAACTAGAGAATAGAAAAATATAAAACAATATGGCGGTGTTTACATTGATTGAGCAAAGACATTATAAATACGTTTTGTATGGAGTGGATAGAGTATGTAGTGAATAGGAAGAGACGGGAAGAGCGGGGATAAAAGAGTTGCCCATTGTGCGTGCTGTACGCTGTCGCTGTTGTAGATATAATGACAGAAATGCTGACGCCAGCAGCATGAACAATAGGACTATAAAAATAAACTGTGCTTATGTATTTTTTAGATTTTTTGGTAACAGAATTAACTATTTACATGGAACCTTGTTTTAAATTTTCAATCCTTAGCTATAAAAACTGAACATTTTACAATTTATTAATTACAATGATTGATAATTTTTCGAGATTTTGATAAATTCAGTCAAAATTTGATCCTTAAATACTTATAAAAAAAACTGTGCCTATGTACTCGTATTTTTAATATTTATCAACTGCTTTTGTAAAAATATATCAGGATTCTTGTATTAAATTTTTACACTTTTTGGCCCAACAGATAAAACTTTATTGATATTTGTAGAAAAAAAAACTAAAAAAATTGAAAAGTGTAAATGCCCTTAAACAGCTCAAAAAGAGTCAAAATATTTTCAAAAATATTGTAAAATGATGAACTTTAAACGCTTATAAAAATTTAATTGGACTTTCCATTAGAGATTTTTTTATTGATAAAGGTAGACAAACTTATGAGTAATCTTGTATTACGTTTTCAAATCTTAGATTAAAAAAGAAAAATTTTTACGAATTCTTAACTCAAAATAATTTGCTATTTTTCGTGATTTTTCCATATTTTGTCAATTTTCGAACTTTAAATGCTTATAAAAAAAAACTGCGACTAAGGATTTTTAATATTTTTCATCTGCTTTTGAAACAATATACTAGGAGCCTTCTATTAAATTTTCAAGCTTTTTTACCCAACAAATAAAATTGTATTGATACTTTTAGAAAAAAAAACAAAAAAAAAATGGAAAATGAAATGTCCCTAAACAGTTCAAAATAATTCAAAATATTTTGAAAATGTTATCGTGTGTAGAAAATGCAAATATAAACAACCTGTGAAAATTTCATGTATCTACGGTCATGTGTTTTAATGTTACACCAAAAACCAAATTCGATTTTGCGTAAAAATTCCCGTTTTTCCTTAATTTTCCTTTTGTTTTTCACGGCGCTTTTGAAAACTACTGGGAAATATTTACTTTTGACCCCCCCAAAGTACCAACTAGATTCATTTTCCTATCAGAAAAGTTACTGTTGAAGAAAATCCAAGCATTTTTACTGTCCTAAAACGTGATGACAGACACAAAAAAAAAATAAAAAATAAAAAAAAAACACACATCATTGTAAAATCAATACATTCATCGTTTCACTCAGAATCTAAAATACATTGTGATCATGTTATATATAAATGTTGACCACATAATAATATATTATGATACTGCCGATACGGACCATACGGGGTACAACACGCATTGGTGTTAATAAAAAAGATCATATGGGCCAATATTACGAGTATATTTCGTTCAAAGAATAAAATTAATATTCATGATTTTTAATATTATGTCTTGTCATAAATTTAAAACTATTTTTCTGGATCGGAAAAAAGTATTTTTTTAATGAGTAAAATATACAAATAAAAGTATTCAGAATATGTATTTGAATACATTTATTCGAATACTTTACAAGACTGATAGATTAATATTGTAATATAATAATTAAGTACTTAACGACGATAAATTGTATGTCATATGTGTGTTACATATACAAGCCCGGATTAAGAGGGGGGCAAGGGTGGCACGGTCCCGGGGCCATAGGCGCACTTTGGGTGTGAATTTTGGGGATGCTGGAATAATGTATGGTTCATAGATCCGTGTGGGGCCTTGCCCCCCACACCCCCCTAAATCCTAATATTATAATAAACTGCATTACATTAGATTTAATTTATATATAATAATAAGTTAATGACAATGAATCAAATAGTCTGTATGATTGTAAAGAAGACGCTAGGTACACCCAAATGTGTTGCATCCGTATTACAAATGTAGTTACAACCAGGGCCGTATTGTGGTTTGGTGGCGCCCCTGGCGAATCACTGCATTTGCGCCCCCTCCCCCTCCTCCAAATTAAAAATATACATTAGTTTATAAAAACATTTGAGATATATAAAACATGTAAAAACACATAGTACCTATATATCAAGTAATAATAACTAATAACATACAACTATTGTGTTTAATAATTTTTAATTTATTTTTATATAATTTTTACACAATATTACAAAGGTACTTTTCTTGATTTAATTGAAGCAAATTGATCAATGACATCATCAAATGAAATTATCTTCACTATATCTTTTTCTATAGATAATATAGCCATTCCGGTGAGACGATTTTGACTTATTGTTGATCTTAGATAATTTTTTATGATTTTCAGCTTGCTGAAACTCCTTTCACAAGAAGCCGTAGTGACAGGAATTGTTAAAAATATCCGTAGTGCTACCTCTAAATTCGGATATAAATCTTTTAAAGAGTACTGATGAATATGCTTTAGAATATCTAACTGAGTTGCATTCTCAAATTTTTTCATTAATAATGGAGCCTGATATTTGAAATTCTCAATTTCAGAATACAACTCTGCAGCATTTAAATCTCGATCATACTTCAATGCCAAATTATTAACCCAGAGTTTTATTTTTTCAGACTCCATAGTTGATAATAAGTTACCAGACAAAAAATTAAAATCAGATGCGATTTGTGACATTTTTTCAAACCTCCAACATAAACTGGATAGAATAGAATCTAATGCTTCATAACATTGAGCTCTAAATTTATTTTCTGTGTCTTTTGATTCAACAGAGGTACGTTTGTTGGTAAATTCAGAAGTAATATTTAAGGATTTGGCCATATATTTTGCCTCACTCAGACATTTTTGAAAACCATTTTCCCTTGTTTCTTGAATTGATTTTATTAAACCGTTCAATATTTTAACAGCTACATCTATGGTTTGGTTTTTAGTTTGCAATGCAATATTGACGTAGTCTATCTGGTTTAAAACTATATACCATAGACTTAGTAAACATAAAAATTTTAAATTTACTTGGTATAATAAATGTTTAGCACCTATCTTTGTATCATTATTAAGTTTAGAAATTAGAATCCTCAGACAAAACTAAATCTTATACTAAATCTACTAAATCTCATACTAAATCATACGTATACAATATAAATACATATAATTCATATGCTCTGTCCATCCTAAAAGTTATTAAAATAAATACCTATATCTTTTTCAAATATTACGTGAAAAATATTACATGAGTAGTATTGAAATTTGCGCCCCTCTCAGAAGTTTTAGAATTGCGCCCCTGGCCCATGCCCTCTTGCCCTGCTCTGAATACGGCCCTGGCGTACAACATAGGAATAACTGTATAAAACTGTATAAAAACCACTCAGACTGTACTCTAAGCTAAGAAACTAAAATATCCACACTATAAAAATGAGAAAATTTACTGTGTAACATTGTTTTTATATTTTCGATTAACTAATAATTAGGTCATTTTTCATTTTTAAACTATAAGAACTTTTTTCGTATTTGTGATATCGAAATATTAAAAACAATGTTGCACAGTCAATGTTCTCCTCTTTCTAGTAGGAACATTAGGAGGTTGCATAACTTGAACTATAAACTGAGTGGTTCTTATCAGCCCAAGCCGTTTTACTATGTTTTACATTTGTAAAACGGAGACCAGTAGACCACACATGAAGGTGTAGCATCTTCATAATAATATTTGTCGTTCCGAATTTATTCAATTTAGCCCGCGCCCTGCAGAATAAATAAATATATTAGTAAAGACCAAGTAATAACCAAAGTTATAAATAGAACATTTCGTACCCAACTGTGAACCTTAAGATAATATAATTGTCTATAATAATATGATATA